GTCAAGGTAGTGGTGGAGCTGGAGGTGGTGTAGGTGCAGGAGGTAGTGTAGGCGGTGGAGGTAGTGTAGGCGGTGGAGGTAGTGCCGGTGGTGCAGTTGGAAGTGGTGCTGGTGGTGCTGTTGGAGGTGGTGTCGGAGGAGGTGTAGGCGGAGGTGGTGGTGGTGTTGTTGGTGGAGGAGGTCGTGGTAGTGGTGGAGCTCGCAGTGGTGTAGGTGCGGGAGGTAAAGTAGGCGGTGGTGGTGTAGTTGGAGGTGGTGCTCAAGGTGCTGTTGGAGGTGGTGTTGGTGGTACTGTTGGAGGTGGTGTTGGCGGTGGAGGTGGTGTTGGTGGCGCTGTCGGAGGTGGAGGTGGTGTGGGTGGTGCAGTTGGAGGTGGTGCTGGTGGTGCAATTGGTGCTGGAGGTGGTGCTAGAGGAGGGGCCGGTGGCGCTGTCGGAGGTGGAGGTAATGCCGGTGGTGTAGTTGGAGGTGGTGCCGGTGGTGCAATTGGAGGTGGTGTCGGTGGTGCAGGTGGTGCTGGTGGTGCAATTGGAGGTGGTGCCAGAGGAGGGGCCGGTGGCGCTGTCAGAGGTGGTGGAAGTGCTGGTGGTGCAGTTGGAGGTGGTGTTAGAGGAGGGGCTGGTGGCGCTGTCGGAGGTGGAGGTAGTGTTGGTGGTGCAGTTGGAGGTGGTGTCGGTGGTGTAATTGGAGGTGGTGTCAGAGGTGGTGCTGGTGGTGTAGTTGGAGGTGGTGCCAGAGGAGGAGCCAGTGGTGCTGTCGGAGGTGGAGGAAGTGTCGGTGGTGGTGTCGGAGGTGGAAGTAGTGCCGGTGGTGCTGTCAGAGGTGGAGGTAGTGCCGGTGGTGCTGTCGGAGGTGGAGGTAATGCTGGTGGTGTCGGTGGTGCAACTGGAGGTGGTGTTGGAGGTGGTGTTGGTGGTGCAGTTGGTGCTGGAGGTGGTGCTGGTGGTGTAGTTGGAGGTGGTGCCAGAGGAGGTGGCAGTGGTGTTGTTGGAGGTGGAGGTAATGCCGGTGGTGCTGTCGGAGGTGGAGGTAGTGCTGGTGGTGCAATCGGAGGTGGTGCCGGTGGTGCAATTGGAGGTGGAGCTGGTGGCGCTGTTGGAGGTGGAGGTGCTGTCGGAGGTGGAGGTAATGCCGGCGGTGGTCTCGGTGGTGTAGTAGGAGGTGGTGCTGGTGGTGTTATTGGAGGTGGTGCAGGAGGAGGTATCGGTGGAGCTATTGGAGGTGGTCTTGGAGGCAGTGGAGGAGGAGGACTTGGTGGTGGTCTTGGAGGCGGTGGAGGTTTAGGAGGTGGTGTTGGCGGCGGGGCAAATGTTGGTGTAGGAGTTGGAGCTGGTGGTGGTGCAAGTGGAGGTGTTGGAGCTGGAGGCGGTGCAGGAGGAGGAGTTGGCGGTGGCGTTGGAAACCGACGACACTAAATCAAAAACGGCAGTGACCGTTAACACTTTAGCATTGCATGCATGTTACGTTGTCTCTTTGTAATATGCATATATGCACTCTCGTTGTTATCTTATTATCCTTGTACCACTGTATAATAATAATAATGAATAAATTACTCTTTACTAACGATTAAAGATTGATACACTACTAAAACTAAAATGATGATGATGAATATATATTCACCTTACAAGAAATTTTGTATCTTATATCTATCCATCAATAATTGGATAGCAAATTGCTTATTAATTTTTACCATGTTCTTTATATTGTTACCAGTAATGTTATATTAAAATAATGTGCTTGAAAAAAGTAGGTTTTGAGAGTTAGTAATTCGACTAAAACTGTTGATACTAGAAGATGGGTATGATGACCTCAAGGAAATTGCATGAGTCATGGCTAGGGTTGTGTTTGTTGTACTTTTGTTGGCAGCTTTCATGGCTTGCAAAAGATATTTAATATATGATTAATAAAAAGTCATCAAAGAAAATAATAACAAACCTATGAGACTTGTATTTATTTTAGTATTAACCATTTAATCAGTTTTAGAATAGCAAAGAAATCAAATTGAACATGGCCACAATCGTCAGATATAAAAGTTCCTGGATTAATTTTTTTCTTTTGTTTTAATTATGGATACAACAAGGCCACAACTGCAAAGATGAACTCTTCAAATTTTATGGTTTCTCATGCTTTTTTACTATATAAAACGTTTTTATTAATAAAGTGTTTTAGAACTTACTTATTATTGTTGTTGAAAACAAAAAACTTACGTGTTAAATTTAATTACGTTGAAAAGACAATCTTTCCCGTTCATGTTCCTCTACTCTCTCTCCTTCTACTGTTCTAAAAAGGTAAATCTAAATCTGTTCGGCGACCTTAGTTTTTCATTCCCGTCACACGCTTTTTGAATCCAAGCGGTTATCTAGTCTCCTTCTCCGTCAGTAGTGGTTTGTCTCCTCCCTTCGAAGTAGATGCGGTCTCGTTATGTCGGTAGTAGGGCTATGCTGCGTCTCCTTCGATTTGAAGACGCCTGTAGGTTGCGGTGGTTGCCTCTCGTGGCTCTTCCCAACTGTTGGGGTCCTTGCTCCGGATTGTCTTCCCCCGGTGTGAAAGCAGTTGGTTCCGTAGTTTTAGAATTTTGCTGATCCCAAGTACTCCATCTTCATCATTGCATATGAAAATATAAAAAGTAAAGAAGAAAAGGCATAACCAGAAGAATTGAGAAAATTAAGTGAATTTATCCAGTTGAGGCATGATTAGATTAATTGATTTCGCGTCTACGACGAAAGTTGAAGGTGAGGAAGGTGGGTTTTTCTGATTTGTCTGTGAGGTTAACGGAAGATCCTTATGCATCTTGATGGCCGTTGTGGATCTCGTGTGGTTAAGCTTCCGATTGAGCCATCAGCCTTAACCATCTCCATGACTTGCTTCCTCCAGACTGGTTTGAAGAGGATTAGATCGGTTATCGGAATTTTGTCTTAGCTAGGAAGGAAGGGTTCGAGCTGAAGCAAATTGTTTGCTAGGATCGGGAGCCATCTGCGACGTGCCGTAGTGTCGGAGCAGTAACCTTACTGGGAGATCTGTAACTTGTTGGCGGATTGGGGGAAAAGGAACGGAGGTTGGGAGTCGGATGCTTCCCACCGTTGTCTAGATACCCCGGTTCTTTGCAAAGTTGTGGAACTCGCATCTGCTGGTTCTAATGGTGGTTTTCTGCATCTGCGGTGTCAATAGGTTCCAGAGCTTCTTTTCCGGCGACGTCTTAATTTTTCCGATTTCCTTTAGCTTCTGTGTTTCAAATGCATGTGACGGTCCAGCACATTTAAGTGGGTAAAATTAAGAAAATAAGGTCCATTAAGATAAAATTAATATGTTAAAAACAAAAAGACTTAGCATTCCATCCCATCTATTATGCTTGAAAGTTTTAGTGTCATAAATTCAACTGGTTTTCATTTAATTAAGTTTACGTGTTAAATTTAGTTTTAATGTCTTTTCACAAACAATGTTTTATAAAAAATCTCTACTAAGTACTTAGTGGAACTTGGAGATGGGCGAAAAAGATGCGACGATGATCGATATTGGAGAAAGGAATCCGCCACCGGTGGAGCCACCAGATCGGAGAATGACGTTCGCGGAAAAAGTAACTAGGGGTAATGCTGGAGGTCGGTTGATACCGGAAGAGTTGTTTGGCGAAGCTTTTGTCGCAGAGAAATGTAGACTGGAGTTCCCGGAAGGTGAAGAGGGGGAAGCAGTGGTTACGATTGGGGATGAGGTCTTACGGGTCATGAATACTTTGTGGCAACGGTGTATTATAGTGAAAGTGCTGAGTAGACCGTGACCCTCCCGGTGTTGAGCAAGCGTCTGAGGGAGATGTGGATGCCGAAAGGGGCCATGTACGTGATTGATTTACCACGGAGGTTTTTTATGGTCCGCTTCGAGTTGGAGGAGGAATATTTGGCGGCGCTAACAGGGGGTCCATGGAGAGTTTTTGGAAGTATCTTGATGGTGCAAGCTTGGACCCCGGAGTTTGATCCTCTTGTCGACGAGATTGTCACGACCCCGGTTTGGATTCGTCTAACTAATATCCCGGTGAACTTGTATCACAAGGATATTTTGTTTTTGATAGCTCGTGGTCTAGGGAATCCTCTCAAGGTGGATCTTACAACACTGAATTTTGAGAGGGCCAGATTCGCTCGGATATGTGTGGAAGTGAACTTGGCTAAGCCGTTGAAAGGGACAATCAGGATTAATGGTGGAAGGTATTTTGTGTCTTATGAAGGTCTCACGAATATATGCTCTCGTTGTGGTCTGTATGGACATCCGGTGCATGCTTGCCCTCGTGGGATAAATGATAAGGAGACTGCTGCTAATGCGAGAGATGTTCAAGGCGGATCAGAAGTAGTTGTTAAAGGTGGGGATGGTTTTACTCCGGTGAGGAGACAAGGTCGGAAAGCTCCGTCATCGTCAAAACAGGATCTGGTGGAAGCGAATAACGTGGGACAAGAAAGGGAAATAAACCTTAATGAGGCTCCAAGTGTTAAGGAAAGTGCGCAGATTCCTATATCAAACTCTTTTGGTATGTTGGAAGATCAAAATATGTCAACTGAATCAAGACCCGTTGCGTGTGTTACGGGAGATAATAAGGAGAATGAATATCCCGTTAAGTTTTCAAGTAAGGAAAAGCATATGGGCCACGTTAGAATGGGCCCGCGACGTGAAACGGGGGAGAAGGGTCCGTTAAGTAACAAAGAGGCTGGTAAAAATCGAAAGGCTAGAGTTTTTAAAACGGGTGAAACTACTGGGCCTAAATACACGCAGCTCAAGCCCACTCGGGGTCTTGTTTTTGGTCCGACAAGGGGAGAGGTGGAATTGTCTGCTTCGGGGAAGAGGATGCGAGTGGAATCGATAATGGTTGGGAGAGCAGGCGGGATCGTGCTGTCGGGAAGAAATGAGGAATCATCGGTCCCATTGCGCGAGATGGTGGTTAACGGCGGCGATACGGTCAATTCAAGCGAGAGGGGCCAGCTGGTTGTGCATAATGGTTCGCCGCTGCCTGCGGCGGATACAGTGTCGGCGTAACGGGGTTCCCCGGCAATTCTTTGTTTTTTAATCCCTCTCATGATGAATTTCATATTGTGGAATTGCCGGGGGGCGAACAAACCCAATTTCAGAAGATCCATTAGATACATCTTGAAGAGGAACCCTTCGGATGTGTTGGCTATTTTTGAGACGCATGCCGGAGGAGACAGAGCTCGTCGTATCTGTCACGGTTTGGGTTTCGATAACTCGTTTAGAGTGGACGCGGAAGGGCAGAGTGGGGGTATATGGCTGCTTTGGAGGTCTAATGTGGGCGATTTGGAGATTGTGGAGTCTTCGGCTCAGTTTATCCACGCGAAAGTGAAATAGGGGTTGGAGAGTGTTCATTTAGTGGTTGTCTATGCAGCTCCTACTGTCAGTAGAAGAAGTGGGTTGTGGGGGGCTCTGAAGACTCTGGTGCAAGGTATTAATGGTCCCTTGGTGATCGGGGGTGATTTCAATACAATAATTCGTGTGGATGAGAGGACAGGGGGAAATGGTCAACTGTCACCTGACTCTTTGGCGTTTGGTGATTGGATCAACGAGCTGGAGTTGATTGATATGGGTTTCCAGGGGAATCAATTCACATGGCGTCGAGGTAGAGTTCAGCAGAATTTCATCGCGAAGCGTCTGGATCGTGTTTTGTGTTGTGCTCACTCACGATTGAAATGGCAGGAAGCAAAGGTCTCTCATTTGCCGTTTCTCTCTTCGGATCACGCTCCTCTTTATGTGCAATTATCTCCAGCAGTGAAAGGTAACCCCAAAAGACGACCTTTCCGTTTCGAGGCTGCTTGGTTGTCTCACACGGGGTTCAAGGAACTACTTGTTAATTCTTGGAACACGGAGCTGAGCACGCCAGATGCGTTAGATGGGCTGCGTATGACTTTGAAGAAGTGGAATAGGGAAGTTTTTGGGGATATTCAGAGAAGGAAGGACTCGTTGGTGGAGGAGATCAAACTAATTCAGGATTGTCTTGATGTAAACCAAACAGACGAGCTGCTGGAGAAAGAAGCAGGTTTGATTAAAGAGCTTGATGTGGTCCTTGAGCAGGAGGAGGTGTTATGGTTCCAGAAGGCTCGGGAGAAATGGGTGGCTTTAGGTGACCGTAACACGAGATTCTTCCATACGTCAACCATAATAAGGAGAAGACACAATAGAATTGAAGCTTTGAAGAATGAGGAAGGTGGATGGGTTTCTGATCCACCTGAGTTGGAAAAGCTTGCGCTCTCTTATTATAAGAGGTTGTACTCGCTTGACGATATTGAGAGAGTTGTGGAGGGTCTCTCTGGAGTTGGTTTCGAGCGACTGACTAGAGATGAGTTAGCAGACCTAAATAAGCCGTTTACTGCGAATGAGATTGAGGTCTCGGTTAGAAGTATGGGTAAGTATAAGGCACCAGGGCCTGATGGTTTTCAACCGGTTTTTTATCAACATTGTTGGGAAGTGGTGGGTTCTTCGGTGGTCCGGTTCGTGTTGGATTTTTTTGAAACAGGGTATCTCCCACAGTCCATGAATGATGCCTTGCTCGTGCTTATACCTAAGGTTTTGAAACC